TAACTAGCTACTTCCGCGCGGTTTCACACGCTCTGCTCAGCTCCTATTGGTCGTAGCGTGATGTTTTATAGCCTATAGCCATCCTCGATAAATGCACTATCCAACACAAAAAGAATTATTCAAATCAGACTTGTAGTTACGGAGATTAGCGCGTTCAAACAAACAAACAAACAAACTCTTCCGCTTTATATAATAGTATAAGATAATAGTATAAGACATAAGATTTGAATAAAAAAAAACCAAAGTAAAATGTTTGACTTCAGCTCCTTTCAACGCTCATAACTCAGTCCAGACTGAGATTTCCATACATGAACCCATAGACAATTTCGTTTGTAATGTCATTCTAGACAATATTTTCTATAAATCATCGACTGACGCCAGAAAAAAGAAAGGCACCAAATTTAGTAAATGCCCAAATGAGAACCGATAGCAAACCAAGGGCCCCTAGACAGAATGTGCTACAGGCCCCGCGCTGGCTTAATCCGGCACTGGTTGGTTCTTTAGATATTATTAAACTTGTCAAGGTGCGTAAATCCATAGGACTATTATATTGGGAGCATAGCCGGCAATAAACAGTATACCTATCACGTTCTTACAGAGTATATAAGTATACAGACAGACAGAAGCCACAGAGGACTTCTTTAGACTTCTTCGACGATTAAATCAAACTATTTTGTTTGAAATTCGCAAAGAATATAAGAAATACAGTCGAAATTCCAACAGAATCATTCGCAATAAACCTCATATAGAATATATGCATTGCAATATATTTTACAAAAAATCGCTAAAGATTACATTATGGTTTAAAAATAACAGTCGCTAGAATTGTGTCAGTAAAAAGATAAGATTTAACAACATATAAAATAATGTAATATATAAACTCACTTGAAAGCTACTGGATTGATTCTATTAGTCTCGAATATCATTTTCCATAGCAGGCAAAGGAATAGAGGCGTGCCCGGTACTGAGAAATGTGATATAATATCGTTGTCGTTTGCCATTGAAGTCCATTTGCGGTACTCCTCCTCTACTGATTTCTTCAGCACCTGCTTATTCTCTTTAGGAGCCGGATTCTGCAATTGTTCATAGAAATAGTAACAAACTGTAGTTTACCACCTACCACGTATTTTTCTGTACTACTCAAAGATATGTAATGATATGCGATTGTATAAAACATTCAAATAAATAAAAGTAATTTGAAATCAAATTGTCACAGAAGGTGCATGCAAACAATTTTTTATGGTATAGGGGGCCTGTCCTACCCTTGGAATTACAAGTGCGTTGCATCTTTTAAGAAGGAGGTCGAAACGAACGAAACCGACATGTGAAAGTTTAAAATGTTCCAGTCTTAATTATTACACAGTGTCTATCCGTACCTGGGCAAAAAATTCAACCAGCATCGGAGGGAAGCATTGCAACGTATGTTGGGACCACATGTGCGGCGTGTTTGTCATTATAGTAGTTAGGAGTTCCTTCACTGCCGCTCCGTCGCTACCTGCAGGTGTCAAACATTAAATAATACATTAAATAAATGTTAAAAGAGATTGTAACCTCCTCTGATTTTTTTTCGGTTTTTCATGATTTCATCTAGTTATTTTTGAAGCAGGAAAGTCCTGTTACACAATTATTTACAGTATCATTTCATTTCCCAATTTTCACTCTCATCGTCATCAAAGGAATCTGTGTTCTGTATAAACTATAAGTATTTTAAATTAGTGGATACCAGAAAAATAATAACAGAAAAAAATCAGTATACATTCGAGGTTAGTTAGGTTAGAGTAGAGGTTATAAATGTATTGTTAGTATTGTACTTACCAGCTCCTGTCATATAGATCCCACGAGCAAGAGTCAGCACTAGAACTCGATTCAGCTCCTCACTTTCAGAGGAGACGAGCGACTTCGGTTCGGAAACTACTCTCGACATTTGCAACTGCACTCCAGAGCTGCCCAAACTCGTTATCAATCTTAACGCAGTACTTTCAAAACTGAAAATAAAATTACACATATTTATATGTATATATAACAATATGGACACATACATTATGAACAGCCTGAGACAATCAACTTTATGATTATAGAATTCATCTATTTAAGAGAAGACTTGCCATAATTTCCACGGTTGGCAAGCAGGTTGAAGATTGCAATATAAAAACTTAAATTATAAGACAGTGTTACTTTCAGGGCTCTGCTAAATGTGATTTTTCTCTTAGTCGGCTCGCACAAAACGCGCGGGAAGTAAATGGTAGATGCCTAGATAATATTAGTTAATTTCTCTTTCTAGGTCGCACTTACCATAGTTGCAATTGTGTTTGATTGGCTTGAGGGTATGCAGCCAAGGAGTGTATGTTAGACAAGAGGGTCACCCTATAGTGCGGCTGTACGTGGTGGATACGATACGAAAACATGTCCAACAGGTTATGAAGAATACCCCAAGCATGAGATTTGAAAACATTCGGAAGTAGCTGATCTGTAACAAAAATAAACATTATTCGTGTTACACAGGGTAATTTGAGCCTTTAATTCTTCAAATGTTTCTACTTTACTTACGTATGAAACCTTTGATCCCCATAGACTCAATTTCAGTATAAACGAGTAGACGGCTATAAGTCTCGACTAAAGCAGGTGCCATCATATTATTTCCTGGTATATTGCTCTTATTCTGAGCTAATTTAGCTACATGAGTAACAGTGGAGTGGATAAGTGACATTTTACAGTGCAAGGTCAGGCTGTCTAGTATGCACATGGACAATGGTACTGTGGGCAAAGGGGTAGTCGGATTCCCATTGGGCATAGCTTTCTGGCTCCCAAATAGAGTTTCTATGATTACACCCATTGGTCTGGCGAAATATTCCTGGTTTGTAGAATACGCATTGCACAGCAAAGCAATGCGGTAATCCGAGCCCATCAATGTTGGTGTGTTATTTGACGTGAACAAATGCTGGAGGTACCTAGAAAGAAAATAACAACATAAGTTATGTTATCTGAGTAATTTACTAACTTATTATAAACTTAAAGGAAGAAATAGATACATACTCATACTGTACTTTTAAATTTTGAGGCATAGACATAGTTTTGTGTTCAGTTTCGGCTTTCTTTAACAAGTGCATCCAAATACACACTACAGCCATCTGATGTGTGCAATGGGCCTTCGTGCAATCAGGCACAGGTAGAGGTTCCTTTTCAGGATACAGCAATTCATACAGTTTTATTATTGGCAAGAAATTGGATGATGGGTTTCTTTGAATACTTCCAGATATAAATTGTAGTAACACCCACATGAGGTGGTCTCTACCTTTTTTCATATCATGGCCAATCAATTTGCTGTGGAGACCCATCACGATATTGGGGAAAGAAGCAAATCCAATGAGGATCAAGTATATGACCTGTGATGATAAATGAAGCCAACACCAATGTGATGAAGACATTTCATCGTCTTCATTTTCTTGTTCGCTTTTTTCCATTGGCAGAATCATAAGTTCGACTAATTGATCTTCTAATGCTATACATCGTTGCTTATGTTGCTTCTGGAGGCCAAGCATTGAACACATCATGTCTCTAGAGTATGGTTGTTGCAAAACATGTCTCAGCAATGAAATCTGGGGCTTTAGAAGTTCTTCATCATAAGGCAAATTACCCTTTAGAGAGAACTTTAATGTTGTGGGATCTAGTCGCCATGGATTTACAAGATGATCTGCATAGCCAGAAAACTCAACAACAGGTAACATTTGTGAATGTCCAATAATAGAAACCATTTGAGCACATGGTTTGAAACTCTCCACAAAGCTAGAGAGAAGTTTTGCCAGTTGCTAAAACAAAAGGAATGAATATTAAAATTTTACATAACATTAATATTCAGAATGTTAGGAGTATATTTCAATACCAATACATACCCAGTGCGGCCAATGGTTATTACCAGGGTAGTCCTTTTGAATTTCAGTGACAATGAAATACGCAGGTAATAAAGAAGCATTCCTGTCAAATATATATTCGATTACACTGTACAATGCTTTCAGTTGGGGCATTGTACTTGAGTTTAGCCTGACTGGTAATGTGTGAGCCTTTTCTCTGCATCCCTAGAAAATAAAATACAGACATAAATACTTAGAATAATAACTTCATCATCAGAAAACATTTAAAAGGACATCACTTACTTTCATTATTTCCCTTACACCTTTATAGTCTACTCCTCCGATAATCCTCTTGATTAAATTGAAACTTTCAATCCAAAAATCAGCATTTTGATAGGTTAGTTTTTCATTGGTCAAAATACAATCACATAACATTCTGTAACAAAATAATTATAATATTGTGAACACCTTGCTCCACACCTTATGTTGTGTGATGAAATGTTAAAACCTAAAACTAACAAAGCAGCACCCACTTTGCACAATTTATGGGATATATGATGTGATAACAGTCGTGACTAATACTAATATCTAATGTAAGAAAAGCACTGTGGCAAGCAAGAATACAAAAGCACCAGTAATGCAATACATACCGAGCCTGAATAACATTTGTGTTCACCAAATTCTCTAAGAGAACAAGCAGCTGTTTCATTTTGTAACGGTTAGTTAGCACAGCCGTAGGAGTCAGGTACTGGCGCAGAGCTGATTCCTGCATCTCCGTGCTCAAATGGGTCATGATGCCACTAAGTCTCTTCTGATACATTCCTAACATCTCATTTTCTTCCTCTGGTTTATGAACTAAGAAGCAACTGAATGCTTCTTCTACTGCTACAACTCTCTGGAAACAAAAAGTATATACATAACAAACAAAATATAAAAGTAGGTACTTATGACACTTAGAGCCAACTAACTTTTAATAAAAATATTATGCTACTGTAAATGAGATATAATTATAGTTATTAGTGTTTTTTTATTGGAACTTTTAACAACAAATGAATGGGTATATAATTATAATTTTACTAGTAATTATCTTAACATTCAAAATAGGTCACAAAATATATGTTTTTCAGAATAAGAATAACAATGTTTATTTGAATGAAGTATACAGCAGATTCTGCTGTTCAAAAAGTATTAAAGGGAAATGCATGTTTCTATCACATCTATGCAAATTGAGTAAACTCTGAGTGTCCCTTAAGGTCTAAACAATATGCTATATAAAAATGAAAATGTATATCATCTGCAATAATGCAACACAGTTGGTTTAATTGACTTATTGACTGCATTTAAACTACACAATTGCAGTAAGAGTCTAGTTGTAAAGCAAACCACCTGGATCCTAAACATGTTTATGATACAAATATAGTAGGTATGACAGAGTAGAGTAACCAAATGTGATGCATTATTTTTTGTGAATAAACCATTATAAAAAATTCATGTAGGTACATACATATTAATATAATATTCAAAACTTACCAAAATCTCGCTAACAATGTTAGCGACCGGGGAATCTGACATCTTAGTGATTCTATAATATTCGCTTGATTCAAATCACTTCACACTCTAACAAATAGAATCAGACGATCATAATTAATGGTATTGAGACATGGCACCACAACATTAACAGTTTGCCGTACAAACAGGTGCTCAAACTATACACGCTAGGTTACACCAGAACAATCAATTTATTCAAATGTTCCGATATTTCGAGGAAGTTCATTCGGTTCTTAGGACAATAACATTATGAAGGTAAGCTTAATAACAGCTTAAAGGTTTAATAAAACACAATTAAAAAAGAATGCATCCAAGTTTTGTAAGGGCAAGCTGGCTCAGATTGACAGAAACACAAATGTGATGTGACAACCACCAGTCAGCAGTGACATGACACCATAGTGACATGACAGATGACACTGACAATAATAAGTTTGGTTTGGTTTTGTTTTCAGTAGTTTTGACCAATCAAAATCCAAACACAGATCAGCTAAAATATTGTAGTCTTTGCACAGATCGAATAGCACCATTCAAAAAAAAAGAGGAGCTATTATTCTTCTTATATTATCTGATTTCGAAAATTTCAAAGAAATATTAAAAATTTCAAGTATTTTGAAAGAGCTTCCAATAGTAAACTACCGGAGAATAGATTACTCCTAAAAACTTTCCCATCATTATGTTAGAATAGGAATCCTAACATTAGGATATAACCGCGCCGTTGTGTGGACTCTGAATTGTAAATTCAGATGCAAAATGCTAAAAATTGCGTGATGCAAAAGATGACTGTCCAGTTCATTGGCATTTTAGGTAAGAGATGTCATACGATGTTACACAGTCCTGGGTTTATCCGTTTCTCTAAGCCTCTAATGCAAACTAAGCAAGTATGCACCCAAATGCGGATGCCCATAGATAGATATAATAATCAAAAGAAATTCGGATCACCTTTGAAGTGCTCGCCTAACGCGCTTTGTGGCTTTGATCAGCTACAACTTAGTGCTGCGCACCGACCCGACCCGCACAGCGTCTGCACGATTTGCTACACTGACGACAAGCTAGTGCTAACGCGCAGTAGATCGGTACCATCTGACCTGATGACGAAAGCGATTGCGACGATCGTTGCAATCGGGATCGGGCTGCTGGATCTAGAGGTGACGCTCTATAAATTCGACTCTGAGTGGTTATAGATAACGGCAGGAGGGGTATTCATCTGCATTGAAGTAACACTAAAGTACCTAGGACACGTAACTATATAGCTTGTAATATGCTTGCACTATTTTGTGGAAAGGGCTGTGATATGATAAGAGTATTGCCAACCGCCACCCCGGTGACGGCGGTGGCAAGCTCGAAGAGGTGGCAGATGGGAATAAAGGAAGAACTGGGCCACCATTCCTAGATCAAAAAAGTTAGGGAATGACTTCCTCTATAGCCGTGTTCGATCAGAACCATACTTCCAGGAATTCCCTGTGTATTATAAAAATAGAGTATCAATTAATTACATATTTGACTGTCATATATTTTGACCTCTTGCTACGACAAGTGTATTCCAAATTCAATTTCATCGCCAAAGCTGGTTAACAGGTCAAACAAAGAGTATAATAAGTAGGCATAGGGGATAAAAACTATAATTTTATTTTGTTAATAATTTATTTATGAAAAAAAAAAATTGTCAAAAATAGTATGCGCCCCAAAAAGCAGTTCACTTAGATTTTAAAAAGGCAATACAACCATCACAATATCATCCAAAACAATACATTTTATTTAGATCACTAATTAAATGTCTCTTGAGTTTCATAAATATTTGTTTATTACAAAGATAAATAAATTTGTCACCAAATACATTATTTATAATATAAACTTGAACTTTATTCAAAGTGCAGGATGGACTTAACAATAAAACAACTGTTGTCACATAAAAATAAAAGGGTGAAAGTATTAGAAGAGCAGAAGGAAACGATCATCGACGGCTTACCATATAGACAACGCATTGAGGGCAAAGGCTAGAAACAAGGCTGACAGTACATCCTGACTATCAGCCCTGTCATCAGCGCTTACCGTCTGTTGGTGCAGTTAACTAGCTAACTTCGTTGACCGCGTATTGTGACGGGTGTATTAAAATTGGTTTTTCGTAGATTTTAGGCAATGAGGCAAAACGTCGATGGAGAAGATAAAGGCTTTACATAGCACTCTATTACGTATTGCATTTGGTGACGAATTATTTTTATTCTTAACTACCTAAAAGATTTATATACCTTTAAAAATAACAACGAAATACGGAATGATTTTATCATCACGTCACTTCATTAACTACCCAAAGATAACGTAAATAGGAATGATTTTGAAAAATGTAAATAATATTCAAAAATATATCCCTTTTCCTCAAAAAGGCACATCCGTAATAATAAGATGCTCTAGCACCATGCAGTAATAACGTGACCGAATGCGTTGCATATCCCAGCCACCGTATTGACGTTATACATAAGCGATTGTAGCATATAAAAACATAGCATAAATTAATAAATTGCACCCACATTACACAAAAATAGACTTATTGTATGTTATTTCTGGTCCCTACATAGGTAACAATACAACAATAATTTAGTTATTGTATGTTGAAGCAGACACGTTGCCACCGTGGCCAGTCCAATTTGTATGTACGAATTCTCCTGGCTTGGTAATAAGTTCGTAGGTGTGCGCGCCGAAATAGTCCCTTTGAGCCTGAAATAACATCATTTAAGTTAAAGTTTTTTAATAAATACCTGATGGCTATATTCTGAGTTATGTAAAAGCTGTATATTTACATCTCAAACTCGGGAGAAGTTGTTTGGCATGTAGGTTTATTATGAAGTGTATGTTCTCTATATTTATAAAGAACATACAGCCGAATTGAGAACCTCCTCCTTTATGGGAAGTCGGTTAAAAAATAAATCCCTTTCTCCCTTGGTCACGGCATCGCGCGTGAATGGCTGGACCGATTTCACTAATTCTTTTTTTGTGTTGTATTTGTTTTTATTAGGAGAAGATTCTTAAGACGGAAAACATACTGAAAATCCTACGGGAGAAAACGGGATTGCGCGTACGAAGCCGCGGGCGCGGGCGGAAGCTATCATAATATACAATTAATTATAGAAACTATGAAATCACAATTTATAATTTCTGTTGCGATGAGTATTCTGACCTGGAGCATATTAGCTGGGAGTACAGCAGATCTATAGCCGTCGTAGAAGGCGAGGGCGGCGGAGAAAGCGGGCGCAGGAACACCGACGAGTGCTGTCTGTGCTACCACCTGCCGCAGAGACTGCTGGGAACCACTGATGCGCTCACAGAAGTATGGGTCCAATAGCAGGTTCGTCAGCTGAGGGTTCTTAGTGAACGCGTCCTGTTAAAATAGCGAAACCATTCGTTAAAACATATGATTATGTACGATATGCTCGTTGTGCGATCCAAGTCAGTTATTTATGCCCTTGGGACGCGCTACATTTCAGTGTTTCGGTGCTTTATGGTTGTATGTTCTAAAGGTATATGTTCCGGCTGTAAGGAGTTGCAGCGGTTGGGTTTATCTCATAAAAATGGAAATCGGACAATGGATATTGATGAATATTGATTAATGCATTAATACTGATTTATTGCACGTTAGATATTTTGAATATATGTACTTTAACATCGACGTTATACCCCAAGACGTCGATAATAATACAGTACTTCAAGTATAAAGTACGTATCTTTAGTATGAAAAATCCGAACACATTATGTTAATTTAAACATAACTAGGTATGTATGTATGTACTAATGACATTGTATCGTTTGAATGTCGTAGTGGTCACGTTATCTTAGAGGTTACAGATTATATATTATTATTTTCGTTGCTATGTATCAGAATGAAACTGAAACTGAAAATTCACGCACAATCGATCACAAAATTTCGATAGAAGAGGGGTAAATAGGTACTGGGACCTAATTCTAACATCTACTTACCCCTTTAGTGATTTTATGTATGTGTATTATGATAGTAAAATTACCATATTTACCGCCAAAGTATAGTAGCAGAAGCAGAAAAACCCAATTTCACCTGTCATACCACCTTGTTTTTCCGTTGACCTTACTAAGAGGAGTGACTCTAAGAAACCGTGGCTTAAGAATTGGAAAAAAGCAATATGTATAATATGTATCATTAATATTTGTTGGAGTGCACATTTATTTCCTTACCTTGATGTTGCCAAGGAACGCGCTTCTGATAATACAGCCACCACGCCACATTAGAGCTATGCTGCCGTAGTTCAAGTTCCATTGGTTCGACTGTCAGAACACAAACAGTAAATGTCTATAATATTATATTACCAGTAAAATAATTATAACCTTTTAACTTTCATACAAAATATGAACAAAATCGAGTTTTTTTTTATAGGTACCTACCGCATTAACAAATTCGTATTCGCCAAAACCTTCGTCATTCTAAGAATGTTCGACGAAACTTTCGTATAAGAGTGCCGTTGCGAAATATACTGCTCCCCGCGAATCGCGGAGTGAGATATTTCAATACGTGCCCTTAGATTAGTGTCCGAAAAACCGAGACACGAAACGAGTAACAGTTATGCGCTTTGTTTACACAATGGCAAGTCGTTATTAACTAAAAGGTGACAGGACACCATTTGTTCCTATTTAAGTTTTTTTTTATATATTAGATGGGACTGACGTTTGACCACTATCTTGCCAGACCCTTGGAGCACGTCGACCCATAAGCAACATATTCACTCGGGCCTTGAACACACCCAGGTTATAATACCCTTCAAGAAAAATAGACTCTGGCAAAGAAGTAATTAATTGTAAAGCATAAATAAATCATAGAATTACTTTTTGTTCTACATCGTAACTCTAATCTAACGTAATCTAAGCTGTCTCTGTATGTAACCATTACTTACAATAATGCTATTATAATAATATAATCTTATTTCTTGCAATGTCACACCTAGGAACGCGTCACTTATCGCATCTCATCAAGATTATTGTAACAATTTGTAACGTATCAGCAACTATTATATTTCAATACTTAAATGGATTCATCACGTAATCTTCCCTAAAATCTGCTGACAAAGATTAGATTCTCTTTAAAAAAACAATCATTTCCAATTGCTATAATGTACTGTCTTTAACCATTTTCAATATGAATAGGTAAAAATGTTTTTAAGTACCCAAACAGAATATTATTTCATTCTGATAATTCAAAATTTCAAATAAAAACCTTCCAAAACCGAGATTGATGCAATGTAGGGCCTTGCTTTAGTTTGGATTTGAATAGCGACATAATGTGCCTACCTTGGCGGCTTCACGAAGTAGCATGAAGCCTTGCGCGTACGATATCAACTTGCTAGCATAAAGAGCTTTGCGCAGGTGTTCCAGGAACTGTTTTTTATCACCACTGAATTTGGTGGTGGATCCAGGCAATACTTTGCTTGCCTTAACTCGCTCATCTGGATAACCAAAACAATACGGTATCATTATTCATATTATTTAATATTCATGTAATATTAGATTCTGTCTTGTCTCTATAACCTTAATCAACCTTCTTTAGGTAATATTGCAGTAAAGCAATCAGATGGATAAAAAAGTTACTTTGATACCTATCAATATTGTCATAACATTTCTAATTATTTTTAAACTAGGCAATAGTTTTAGATAGGACATAAAATTTTTACCAACCTTTAAGGGCTGAAAGACAGCGAGCGAACACTGCCTCACCAATAAGGGTCACAGGTACACCATACTCTAGGGCTGCAATACCAGTCCACTTTCCTGTGCCCTTCTGTCCCGCTGTGTCGCAAATCTTTGGCAGTAAATATTTACCTGTAGATTAACAGTATTGTTATTTTATTATTGTCACTTCAAAACTCTAATAAACCAGTATTATTGGTGTAAGAAACTTACCATCTGAATCCTTGAATTTTAAGATATCCCTTGATATTTCGATAAGGAATGAGTCTAACTCTCCTTTGTTCCATTCTTCAAATACTTCAGCCATTTCACCTTGCTCCATACCTTTAAATCAAAATAATATTGTTATAAAAATAGGGACACCCCTATATGTACAGAGTTGCAGATGTCATGGACACATAAAAAATCAATATTATAGATTATTATGGGTCAGTTTTGCTATATCATTATTAATCAGGCTTTATTTTGCTGATACTGTGAAGCGGACTCAAATTTCAATAAACTATTTTCAATTAAATAATAAACAGTAGGTACCTAGGACATCTTTCATCAGATTGTAAGCTTCACAAATGAGCTGCATGTCACCATACTCGATACCGTTGTGGACCATTTTGACGAAATGGCCAGCGCCATCCTCACCCACCCAATCGCAGCAAGGCTCGTTATTGGCTTTCGCACATATAGCCTGAAACAATTTTTGTATCATTGTTTTGTATTTTATATTATCGAGTACTTTTAATAGACTATTCATTCACTTTAACTTGATAACGAAACATATTCAAAGCAGTTTAGAGTACCCAGTTGGCCAAACCTATAGTGCTATAGTGGCATATAATAAATGATAATGAACATGATACACACATGATCTCAAGCAAAGTACAGTTATTTGCGCAAGCAATTTTTTAATTGATAGCTTTTCAAAATTACCTAAAGATGTGTGATAGAGTAGTAAAATCTCATTGGTAAAGTTTAGGATTTAAGACAGCATTTATTAAAATAAGTATGTATTGACAAATGATGGGTATACCTGGAATATTGGTTTAACATGAGGCCAAGCAGCAGCGTGTCCACCAGGCATCAGGGAAGGTCCATAACGAGCTCCATCTTCACCACCACTCACCTGAACAAAGAAATGTTGTATTTGCAAATGTGGGAACTAGAATACTTAAGATTAAAATACATAATGAGTAAGTGTCAACTATATGCCACATAAGTTTATCGGATATACTTATGCTAAGGAGGTGAAACATATGCTTAGTCTAAATTCAAGTTTGTAATTGGATTTCTCAATTACAACCAGTTTCATTCAAAACTTTAAAACTTCTGTGGTCCATTGCATCAGATTTAGTACATGGTTTGATTATATTAAACAGATTGCAAGAACATGTTTACCTTGATTTGTTGACATCAAATACGGACACAATTATTATTATTTTTAACCCGTTGAAATCCATCCCCTAAATTTGGTCATACAAAAGTAGTCTCTAAACATTAAAAATAAGGTCTATAATGTAATGTAATCTTAGTGGAAAGCGGTCACCGGTGACCGCTTGGGGATTTATGGGTTAACATGGCCCACATTATGACTTTCTCCTAAGTCGTGAGTGCATTTATAAACATATAATTTCACATACACATGACATCCGCACCGAGAACAGCAAAATTTGTGGATCACACAAAAGATTGTTTCGTGCGGAAATCGAACGAATTATAGCCAAACTTCAAGTCATATTAGAGCCAGCGGCTGAGTAAAATGAACCTGTAACAGTTTAATTTTAAATGTACTTACACCCATTCCCACATAAAGGACACCAGATGAGGCGAGTTCTTTGCACCAACGCTGTGTGTCTATGTACTGTGAGTTTCCACCATCAATTATAATGTCGCCTTTGTCAAGAAGGGGCACTAGCTTCCGAACAAACTCGTCTACAGCCGATCCAGCTATAAAACAAAATCACACATTAATTATTTTGACACCACTGAGAAACGGTGAAGGAAAACATCATGAGGAAACTTGGACTTATAATTTCCATTTAGAAGTTTGAAATCGCCAACCCAGAATGAGCAAGTGTGCTGATTAATGCTCAAACCTCCTCCGTGTGAGAAGAGGCTTTGCTGAGCAGTCAGCACTTATAGGCTGTTGATGTGATGATATGTACTTTCTTTAGACACCACTGTCATGTTGAGAAAAATCATCATAAGGAAAGTCGGATTTCTAATTATAATTTCATTTGAATTAATCCTTATTCCTTTTCCGTGTGAGAAGAGGCCTTTACTCAGCAGTGGGCATTATTGGGCTGAAGGTGTGGTTGTGTCGTGTGACTTCATTTTGCTATGTTACCTTTGTAATAATTTCAATAATATTAATGACTGCAGAATATCTATCGAAATTATTACTATGGGGATCATGTATGTGCATTAGGACATGATGTAAAATTTGTTATGCACTTCAGTAATAAGGGTGTTCTTTTTTCTTTATACAGTGATTGTACTAATATGTAGTTTTTTTTTTCAAGGCGGAAAATCAATGATTGACTGCTGCCGCCTCGGTAAGGCGGGAGGGAGTGTCAGACTCTTACTGACTAAAAACTACTCCGTTCCTTCTCCTACACGTCGAGCCGGAGCCCCGGTAACCCGTTAGGTTCTCCGCAACACTAACTAATATGTAGTTTGGAATATTGATTCTAAACTACATAGTGCTTCTGTAAAGGTATCAAAAAAAATCTTAATGTTTCTCCACAAACTGGGTATTGGTTCTAAAATAATCGCAAGAAAGTCGCACTTGCAATCCCAAACAATTTCAGAAAAAGGCAAAGTAATAACTTTCTTGCAAGATTGCAATAGACTTGCAACTATTGTAAGTGTTACAAAATATAGTAGGTACCTATGTGATACCGTGAGTAATTAATTATTTAACAAAAAAGATTTATTGCCTCACCCTTCACAAGTAACATAACTTTTCTTGGTTTCTTGAGTTTGGCCACCATATCTTCCAGTGAAGTAGCCCCAATGATTTTAGTTCCCTTGGCTTCATTTTTGAGAAATTCTTCCACCTACAATGTTACTTAATTACATCAAAATGGCTGGAGGAATAGGGATGAAATTAGTTACTGCGTTAGATTATGGTCTGAAATCTATATATATAAAAGAAAGTCGTGTTAGTTACACTATTTATAACTCAAGAACGGCTATATCGATTTGGATGACAATTGGTGAGGATGTAGCTTAGAACCAGGAGACGGACATAGGATACTTTTTACCCAATAGTTATTTTTTACTTTTAACCGAAAATCAAGAACGGGTACGGGAAATATCGGGATTGCGCGTACGAAGTCGCGGGCAGAAGCTAGTAATATCTAATTACAACTAAACTCTAGAATGAATAAGCCTAGAACTAAATTTAAATTCACACGTTCTTGCATTTCCATTTATTACTTATGTTTTACATAGATAGTATACTTTTGCATTAAACTATAGAAAGATGGTTGGTAATCTTTACTTATCTAGTAGATAATACTATACCTTGGCTACAGTTCTGTTGTAAGCGCACACAACAAATCCTTTGCTGTCCATGTTCAGAATTAAATTCTGGCCCATAACTGCTAGCCCAATAAGAGCAATGTCTGCTTTAGCCCTGAAAAAATATTACTTTGATATCTACCATCCACACGAACATAATACATATTGTATGTAGTACTGTGCAAGTAGTACTTCATAGAATCCAGTACCTACATAATGAAAGTCATGTATGTTCACCTTCAAATAACCTTGTGGCTACACTTGAAACCCCAAGTTACCAACACTTTAAGACAATCAGTGAAGATAAGTTGTAAGTGTCCATGATTTTAAAATTCAATTCTTTAATTATTTTAATTTATGTAACATTTTCCATTGTAATACACTAAAGAAATATGTACTATTGGTTACATTTGTACAATAACATTTAGTCCCATGTATGGCGTGTATACTACTATAAACTAACAACAAACTTTTAAAATCAGATACTTTTTCTGTATGTTTCCAAGACAAGTGCAATTTTATAAGGCAAAACATGAACACTAAAAAATTTAACCTTAAATAACTAAGAAACTCGATCAAGGTCTCAAAGAAAGTAAATAACGAGGACATAAATGTAGTATTAACTCTTAAAATTCTTAAGTTTATTTTACATGTTTTTTCACATTAATTTGCACCATTGTTAAATATTAGGTGGATAGCTATAAAAATCCAAGTCATGCTTATTATACCAGACAGAATAGAAAGAATCCGAAATACTTACTGTGCCATTCTTAAAAGATTATTTTTTAGAATGGTTCCTTATGATATTCTTTCAGATAGTTGCTTTTGACGTATTTCTTTTGTAAAATAAACTTGAAAACTTTTAACTACTTTATGCAGAGAGTGGTAAAAGTAAACACGACAGACTTGTTCCTAACTTCTTTGACAAATGATTGCATGAATTGAAAATGTTGAAATTCGAAATAAGTGAGAATGACAGTTAAAGTTTCACAGCAATGAACGATGAATGATGAACTATACTATCAAATATTAACTTAAAGTTAATTGTTATGGTTCCGTACTCTCAGAAATATACGGGATTAGGTACTGTACTGGGTCTTTAACTCCGCTGTCCTAGCTGACATCTGTGTTTTTATCAGTTATCACCAGAGATTGCTGGTAGACTGTATTTTCACTATTTTTCACCACTGGTAATGATTGTTATATATCTACGATTTTCACAGCAATAAAAACTAAATGAAATAATTTTTTAAGATCCTTCTTCTAATAAATTATAATAATGGTGATTATTTTTCCATTTCTCAATTGATTTGATTAATAGGTAATAAAATAATAGGACCTTTAGAGCACATTTTCAGGCGTACCTGAAGCCCTAGATAAAAAGTGCCCAAATGATTTTCACCTTATTTTCGGGAATACTAAACAATAGAAATGAAAAACCAGATATTTACAAGAATTTCCATTTTTGATGAAAATTTTTAAGTCCCCTATCTCTTGCATACTTACTCTTTGCTACACTGACTGAAAGGATAGTGTATTTCTATTACCACTATAGCAACAAATACTAAAAACAAAATAAAGTACGTATTCAAGAAAAGCTTCCGCACAACAAAGTTGATTTTAATGCTGTATAACGTTGCTAACATCATACAGAACCCTTCGGTCGTGTGCGAGTTCAATACGCAATAATCGCAATTAGCAGTTTTTTTTAAACTATGTGTTGTATAAAATTACATTTTAGTGTGACCATTCAAATTAGGAGATGAGTCGCCGGTTTTTATTTTACAGTTTACATGATCTATATCATGGTTTTTCCGACGGTACTGTAGGATGGTGTTTGACGGCTATTGTGCTGTGGCGTTTCGCTAAATGATTAATGAGTTAAAAAATACCATTTGTAAATTTTCTATACGAAGTCCACAACATAACATATTTTTATCATTAATTTTCATACAAATGAAATATTCGATAAACCGGTACCTATCGTATTTTAGGAGTGGTCACGCCCAAGAATAAACCGATATTGTAAGGTACATAGTATGGATTGTATAGTCTATGATAATACATTAAACCAAAGGAGTATGGGAAAAGAGAAGCCACTCATCAAATACTAAGACACAATTTTTACAACGGCATCTGAATTTTGCATCCGAGTATGTTCTGTTACTAAATTTCATACTTACACAACCAAGTATAGGTAATACGAACACTATTAACTTTTCCTAATAGGTTGGTATATTAAAGTCTCAAAGTTATTTCTTTGTTTGTTATTTTAATAATAGTTTATGTTAGTAAATAGATACTGAATAGGTGTTAAGTAAAATATCGTTTATGATTAATTGTGAGTATATAATTTTAAGTGTTTCATATAAGATATTAAATTTGTATGGGAAACTTTATTGTATTAGTATATAGGTATGTATAAGTGTTAAGTTTTCATTTAATTATAATTAGGTAATAAGTAAGTACTAAAAGATGTAGTAAGACTGATGGCTACACTATCGTATTGGAATGTATCTGTAATGTTAGTTGTTAGTGCATTAAATAAATAAATAAATAAAATAAATAAATTAATTAAAATTAAATACTGTAGAAGTTGCAAAATTTTTTGAAGTGAAAACTTCTTTAGCTTCGTTGTCAATCGTTGTACACTTTTTAAAAAAATGATAAACTCGCATAAAGACTCACGTCAGGACACGTGACCTGATCAAAAATTCGTAAAACGGATGGAGCGCAGGGCGCTTGAGCGAATGTTCGTGTGTGTTTAATTAAATTTTTAAATAATGAATTTGGTTTAACTAGTTTGTCAAATAAACGCCAACGCCGTTGTGCTAACACAACGAAATATAAAACTGCTATTGATGCAGTCTTTGACATATTTATAGATTCGAATCAAAACTGTTCTTACTTCAGCTATCATAAACCGAGCGTATCAATTTAAAAAATTGGCGATGGTGGTTCTGGTAATAATGTTAGTGAAAAAGTCGTCGAAATTATGGATGGAAGGAATAAACTTTTTAATTTAACTCGTCGAGTACCGGTTTTGTAGACACAATTATAGAACAATAGGTTGCGGTCACCGGTGACCGCTTGGTGTTTGACAGTTTAATATAAAATGTCATGTTTGTGTACGATAGCGCAATAAATAAATATGGTATTCTACCACGTAAAAGATAGTAGGTACGATTATTCTGATAATTAAGGCAATTCCTGCAAAATTATTCCATAACCATTCCAAAATATCCAAAACTCACAACGTTAATAATTAAGTTTTAACTTCTGCCGGCGCTCCCGGATTGCAAACCGTCGTTTTTTTAAATTAGTTTGCTTTTTAAGCGTTTAATATTTGACAGCTACTGCTGTCTGTAAATTATATCATGTTTTTAGCATAAAATATTTTCTATCGATACATAGAATGCTAAAAAATCACCAGGAATAGACATTGCCAGTCCTTTATGTATAATCTAATATGTATAATCTTGCAATAACAGTGTGGCACATAGAATATTAGTTTTTTTTGACACAATTAGTTTCAGTTGCAAATACCAGAGGGAACTGACAGTACGATTTCGTTATCTATGGTCAACGGTATGAGTGACGACCCTAACACTACGACTGCTACACCCTAAAAACTACTTTTAGTATCAAATTAATATTTTTAATTGATTTATTTGGTGGTTGGTATCAATATTTTAGAGATTGGTATAATGTTTTTGATAATCAGTGTCAATATCGTCTATTACTAAAAAGCGTATAATATAAAATTACTTGTTAGTTTGTTTGGGATTTCTTGTGTTTCGTTGTAGCCAGTATGTCTACTAATTACACAGACTCAGTGAATAAGTTTGGCAAAGACGGTGCTCGGGCTGCGTGTAAGAAGTGCGGTTACGTTGGGCACCTTACATTCCAATGCAGGAACTTCTTAAAGGTAAAAATATTTAGGTATTATTTCATTTCAGGCAAACCTATGTTCTACACCCTGTATTCACTGACCATGAAAAAGAAACTCCCCTCCCCAATCCCCAAAAGATGGGCAACATACTTGTAACTCAACTGGTGTTGTGAGTGTCCATGGGCAGCGCTGATTGCATACTCATAAAAATATTTATTTTTAGCATTTAGTTAATATATTTTATAAGATTGTTCACAAAACTTAAGATATTTCTTTCTTACCAACAGGTTGATCCTAATAAAGAGATTGTGCTGGATGTTAGCAGTACGAGCAGTGGTACTGAAGAGGAGGACATTGCTACACCACTGCAGCGGCTCCAAAAAGCAGAACAGCGACAGAAGTTGCAAGAGAAGCTGCAGAAAGCCAAGAGGAAGAAGAATAGCAAAAGTAAAAAGAGGAGGATGTCTCGGTATGTGTCTTAGTACTATTACGGAGCTCTTAGATAAGCACTCAAGCAACCTGGCACTACCAACTTGCTTGAGTGCAATTTGGTAGTACCAATAGTAATAAAAAACTGCACAGTTGGCGCAGTAGATTAATGACTGGCTTTTGTGCAATGCAGCAGAGTTCCATTTCTACGTCAATCTAAATATGACATTTTCTTAGCCTAAATTATTATTATTAGCCTGGAGTCAGGAAATTTGACATTGGTGCTATACCCCATGCTTCACAAAGTATGTAAAGCCGTTGATCCTGCACCGATCTCTCCAATTGTGTCGGTCTACTGTCCTATTGGGTTCAGAGAGTGAGTGAATAAAGAGTGCAGCTGCACACACATACTCCTGCATAATAGGCTAGTTAGACTTGCCACTGTGATTTAATAGATGGAAAGGGTTATATCAAATTATTGATTTAGGCTATACATTGACGTCCAAATATTTGCTCATGGTCAAGAGACCAATTGCAAATACACATACAAAAAAAGGCTATACATTACATTTATAAGTTGTTCTCTTTATGATCGCAGATCACCTAGCACCTCTACAACAACTTGTTCCACCTCAACAACCAGTACATCTACATCATCTACATCAAGCAGCGATTCAGAGAAAGAAAGCAGGAAAAGGAAACACAAGAAACAATCTAAGAACACTCATTCAAAGAGGGCCCTGGTCTAATCAGCAAGTGCTTCTCAGTCAACATTGTCTAACAGCTTTGAAAGTCTACGACTGTTCATCATTCAATTTGAAATTTAATGTAGGTACATGTCCTTAGAAAAAAAAGAACAGCAAAATACCAGTCATTGTGACTTGCTATAAGTAATGAGTCCAAAATTGCATTTGTCACATCTAGTTTGTAAGTAATTATGAATTGAGTATTATTATTATACAAATGATATTAGTCATTCTTAACTCTCAATTCAAAAAATGGGGTATAAATATTATAAGTTTAATATGGGTCTGTGTATTCTAGTCATTTTTAAAATTGAAAAGAAAAAATGTATTACTATATTATTTCTGTGATAAAAAATCCACTAATTATTTTTTAATGGTAATAACCTGCAATTATCTTTGAAATATTGGTGTACTTTTATTTTTTATTATCCACAATGCCCATCAATCGTCATAATGGTGTTATTACACCATAAATTATTATTTATTTCATCAATAATTTATATGTTTTTTTTTTTTTTTTTTTTTTTTTTTTTATGAAACGTTGCCCCACATTAGGATTTTCTCCTGTGTCGTGGGTGCGTTTACAAACATACAAGTTCACAGTACACAATGACACCCAGACCCGGAACAACAATTTGTGGATCACACAAAGTGTTGTTCCGTGCGGGAATCGAACCCGCGACACATTGCACGGCAACCGGTTGCCCAGCCACCGCACCAACCGTGCAGTCATATGTAATTAATTAATCATAAATGTATTGTGTGACTATATACAAAAGAAAGTTAATGACTTCTCATTCATATTATATTTAACAATTTTAATGATAAGGAAGTGTTTAATGTCTAGTTGATAAAAGAAAACACATTCAAGTAAGTGTCTATAATGTAATGGCTAAATATAAAAATATCTACATACAACAACAACAACTGATTTACCTTTACTAGGAACTGAGATATAACTTTACATAACATAATATAGATTACAAAGGTATGTATGATATATGACATATTTCATATAAACGTAATGATTGTAGTTTGGTATCTTAACCACCTCTCTGAGTGTATATGTTGGTTGATGTGATTTGTAGCTAGAACAAAAACAGTTTCAATAATTACAGTCTGCTCAAATTTTTTTGCACCTAAGTTTATTATACATTTATTGAGTTCCTACTAAAACACACATATGTATAAACTATTTTGTCCGTCTTAGAGAGTAGTGCCTGTGAGAAGTGAAACTGTTGTGGTGTACTGTGGAGTGGTCGATCGCAAGCGTGAATGTTTCGAGGCCGATTACCTGATCAGGCAATCGTTATGGGTTTTTGTTTTTAGATGTCTTCGATCGTAATGATACAGTCCAGAATAAGGCATGATACTTGGCAAAGTATCATGGTACTTACAACATAAATGACAAAAAGTTGGCCTTGCATTGAATAATATAATTTAGCGCCTCTGTCTACTTCATCGGAAAAGACGATGTTGATTTATTATGTAAAATGATACGCCAGCATCACTTGATCCGCATTGGCATTTATAAATCTCTAAATATGAAGAACACATAATTTATCTTAGAACTGAATATTTCTATTGCATAACATGTATTACCACAAACTTTCGCATTTATAGGATAAAATATATAAATGTATGCATGCAGTAATTAATGTTAATAATAAGGAACTTGTAGATCTTTACTATGAGGATTTAGAAAATAAACTTATTCAATACCTTTTTGTGTTTTTATTTATTTATTATTTATGTACATACATACATACTTATAACATAAATGACAAATTTACAGGGTGTCCAGCAAATAATGCACAGCAAATGGTGTATAGATTATTGAATTTTATTATAGATGATACATTGGTACCATCTATACTAAAATTAAATTAATTATTTTTATTTTTTGTGTTAGATAGTCCATATTGAGTCAGTGATAAACTTCACGCTACGATAAATACCTACGAGAAGAATAGGAGTAGCTAGTAATAATATATCTAAAATACGAATGAAGTTCATAAAATTACATAACAATATTAACTCGTCAAGTAACGGTTTTGTAGACACAATTATAGAACAATAGGTTGCGGTCACCGGTGACCGCTTGGTGTTTGACAGTTTAAGAGACACAATACCTTAGGTTCCCCAGTTTATGATACTATTATACGAGTACATATATGTAATTTGAATAAGATTTTTAAAAATGACACATAGTTACCCTCAGTAAAACTTTTCATATCTCTGGTAAATGTTTCTCAATCCAATCCTTGATGAGCCTGACTCCTCGTCTGTTTAACGAGTGTCCCAATCTCTCCATTATATGGAACTCTCCTTGCACACCATGTTCCTTAAGTAAATTAAACGTATCCTTCGCCCATGATAAATCTACCAAGTCATCAATATCACCGTGTATTTGAAGTAAAGGTGGCACTGTAACAAAAGTAATATTAGCTGAACTCTGGTTTGTCAAAATGTGAGTTTTAAGTTGAATGGGCCGGCTGGGTCTGGTCAGTCTCACCTCTTCAGTGAGGTATGTATGCTGGTTCACGACAGGATAAGGTAAAAGATACTTCTACATGTGCTAGACAGCCCTGGACATTACTTGAACTAATTTTGGTAAACATAAAACAATCTAAAACTCATTGGCTCATTGATGGCTTACTTCGATCAGTATCATCTGAGATTTATTATTGGGTAAAGTTTACCTATATAACCATTAAATTTTACAACTTTAGTAAATTTATTTAAGTTCTTCTTGCCCTTAATTAAATAAAGAGATGCTCGTGTCAAAGACATAGCCATGATAAGTAACAGAGTAGGTATTAATTTTTCGATACTATTATTTTATTTTATTATCAAAAGTAATATTATACTTACATTTTATTCCTTTTGCTTGTTTGACTTCATCATACACACATGAATTATCATTTAAAAATGAGCTGAAGGCAAATGCTGCAGCTATGTTACGATCCCATCTATAAGCAGAATGCAAAGCAAGTGCACCACCCATTGAAAAACCACCTAGAACATAAAATGAGTTTTTATATTAAATTTTCCGAAACAATCATTCTCGTAAATTCAAACATCACCAGATACTAGTTATGAGGATACCTTATTAGGACCTCCTTTAAATTCTCTTTCCAATATTACAATATACCTAATAAATACCAGACAATTAATTAGATAGACCTAGTAGTGAAAAAACTTACACCTATACAAGAGAATGCAGTCCATCTGATACTAATTTGGTGCAAAAACTTTGCAATTGTTCATGGGCGGCGCTGACCACTCACCATCAGGTGATCCGTCTGCTCGTTTGCCTTCTACTCCATAAAAAAATATTTAGATACTGCAACTTTAGGATCATTCTGAATAGGTAATTCAAACCTTACCAATTATTATCCTGTTACTAGGAATTCCAGCATCATTTTCTTTTTTTATGAGATTTTTTACTTCTGTTTCTATTTGTGCTATTGATTGCAACTTTTCTGGCACATTAATATTTATATCAGCCCGATCAAACCAAACATTACTCATTTGTCCACCTGCAGGAGTGTACGCCTGCAGTGGTGCAGTTGGATACAATACTTTAATATGTGGAAATGAAAAATTTGCCACCATGAGTCTCACCCATTCTTTCATATCAGCACCACAGGATCCTGACGACACATAAATTAGTGAGTATTTAAATAGTAAGATATTTAACTATCTGTATGAAAAGCAGGGATAGTCTGATAAAGTTAATTATGGAAGGATTAAAAACTCATTTTTGTAAGAATTTGTACTGTGTAAACCATTGATTGAATGCAGAAAATATCTTTCCTGACCTATTTAAAAATGATCATAGAAAATATTTTGTATTCAGGCAGTACCTTACATACTTAATGATTAAACTAGGTAATTATACTACAATCATTATAAATTGCTAGCTTTGCATGTGTTAAATCACTATAAACCTTTCTCTTGAATCACTCTAGCACAAGATGATTTGTTATAACACCATAATCTTGTATGGGCTTGTAGAACAGATCATTTCCAACATTTTCTCAAACAGGGATAAGTAAAACAGTTATTTAGTGTTAATTTTAAAAGAAATGCAAGCGCATTTCTTTTTTGCATTGAAAAGAAAATTAGATCCAATGCATTTAGTTTTTGTTTTTTCAGTTTTAGAGTTACCACAGGCATCATTTTTAATTTGACACTAAAAGTTAAATATTATAATAATTTCATTTCCACCTATCACAAGGTTACAAGATTTTGGTGTAAAAACAAATCACCCTGTATATTAAAGAACCACATCAATATCCTTTGCATAGTTTTAAGGATCTAAGCATACATAAGGACAGACTGCTCTCTATCTGTCTGTCAGTGTCTGTCTTCACTTTCTACTGAATACATAACATCACGCCTTTTATCCCCGAAGGGGTAGGCAGAGGTGTACATTATGCCACTGTACAATGTAACACCCACTTTTCATTATTTATGATATGAGTCCCATGTAATAGGGGGTGAGCCTATCTATTTCTACTGAATGTGAAGATTTTATTCTAAGCTATGTAGTGATGATAAATTATTCAAGTGCTATTACCTGAACCATGGAAAAAGATAACTGTTCCTGTGTGTTTCTGCCCAGTACATTGGGTCAAATGTAAGGCACCAAGTCTTGACATCTTAGTTTGTGTTTGATATTAATTTTGTCAGACCGTAGTATGATTCTGAACAAAAAAGGGTATTTAAAGGTCAGTAGGTATCCTTAGGAAGCATGCCAGTAACTAGAAAATTCTAAATCAAATAGGTACATCTAATTAAACAAATTTATCAATAAAAGACTCTGCTTTTCTATTAATATTACATGGTTTTTTTAGGGGGGGAAATCATCTTGTCTTCTTCCGCTCGAGTGATGCGATAGGGATAGAGTGTCAGACTCTTACTGAGTAAAACCCTACGCTCCTACTCCTGCACTTCGAGTTGGAGCCCCGGCAACCCGTTAGTCCTCCGCAGCACCATATGAATTCAATGGTAAGATATCTTACAGGACAGTTATACAATTAATTACATTTAGTACCGTTTGCGCAATTGGTTTTGTTGTTCATTTGTTGGTTATAATTTCCACTAAAATAATACACTTTGTTTTAACTCCATCTTTCTCATATCTGCACAATAATAGTACAAGAGGGAAATATTAAATTGTTTGTTTTTTTTGGCATTAAATATTGCTTGTAAACAATTGGATTAATTTAAGATTATTTTTCTCAAATTGTAAAACTTACTATAAGGAATAAGTATAACATAGGTTACTTTTTATTTCGATTCTTTCAGGAATTCAGCAAATTATTCAGGATCAATTTGGGACCTATGGATGAAGTCACGTGTACAGTCTGTCTATTTTCCCTTTACTGTTTATTTTTGAAAAAAAACGTTTCAGGAACTATCGAACTAACTATTTAGTTTCAATTCGTCACATTATAAAAAAAGAATAAATCTTTGACAGTCAACTGACTGACAGCTGCCAAGCCAAGATGCTATTCCCAAAATGCCAAATGCCAATGGGAGTGGTAAGGTAAGGTAATCGAGTGGTAGTAAGATCGGTAATAAATAAAGTCTGCATAATAATTAGTTTTTAATAATTCAATCGGAAAACATTACTTTCAAGAACTTCCAAAACTGCGTGAGGCTACTGCTTAGAGCATTGACGAATCTATAACATTCAAATCGTTCTTTTATATAATTTGTATACTTTAAAAATGAAATATCAAAATCTAATCATTATAATTATTTTCTATTTTTTTATTCTATTTAATAAAACGATTTTTAAGAAGTTTTCTTACGTTTAAAAACGAATTACCGGATAATTAACAGCACTATGGTAACTATGAAGTTGGTTGAAGATTTGAAATTAAAATGGCGGCCTTTTTGAATAATAATTCGTTGTTCGTTTACCTACTTAATTAAATTCATTTTCATTGCTACAATAAAAACATTAATTTGAAAATTATAAGTATTTAAGGTAGTAATGAATCGAAATTATGAATTCGATATTTTCATTGTTACCGGGGCTCCGGCTCGACGTGCAGGAGAAGGAACGGGGTGGTTTTGAGTCAGTAAGAGTCTGATATTCCCTTCCGCCTCACCCAGGCGGGAGCAGTCATTCGATGATTTTCCCCTCTTAAAAAAAAGACATAATGTGGATACTTACAGATTACAGTTAGACAAAAAATAGTTACGCAGTGACATCTGGAACTTCTAGTGTTAAGTATATGTAGGTAGAGATGTAGTTATCTATTATACATCTATGGTAGGTATAGGCTATAAAACATCATGCTACGATCAATAGGAGCCAAGCAGAGCGTGTAAAACTGCGCCGGAGTCGCTAGCTCGTAAAATAAAATTTACATCTAACATAATTTTGTATGGAGGAATTGTCAAAATATTAATATATTATTCTTCTATTAATCAAGTTATCAGGCGCATGGCTTTGGAAAAATCGGCCCTAAGTTAGACAATATTCTAATACCTAATAATAATTATTAAAGTTAAAGGGTGTTATGCACCTATTGATCAAGGTACTGCACAATATCATTGTTGAATCTGTTTGAGACTGAGAAAAAAAAAATCATGTTCATATTTATTTAATACATGTATTTATTTTGCAAGGTTAAAATACAATGAAGCTTAAAAGAACCATCTTAATGCTTGGACTTCTTTTGCTTCTTCTTTTTCTTTTTTTCCATTTTCTCGAGCTTTCTGTAAACAAAATGATAACCATTAATGGAGGTAATGATTATTGGAAGTGTTAGTCCAGACTTGGTCTAGACTCTTAAATATGTAGGTCGGAAAATGATGATGAAGGATGGACAAGCGGTTCGAACCTGTGACACGATTCCCAACATCTAGATCAGTGTTCATACATTCATGATTTACAAAGTACACCTTGGCAAAAAAGAGTTTGGAAAAATTGAGGTTGTAACATACACTACGACTCAATCGGTTTTGATATTTGTTATTTTAAAAAGAGGAGGTACTGCGGTTCTGACGGATGTCCAGACAATTGTTTATTCATGAGATATGATCCCAATTGGGTAATTCAGTCCAAATCAATATTAGTTCATGTCACTGTCTCAAACTCTTTTTTATCAAACTGTAAGTATCCACATTATGTCTAATTAGACCCAAAAGTCTTGAAATTATTGAATGTATTTTTTTCAGATAAATTAATACTTACTTAAGCAACTTCTTTTTCTGTTTTCTAGTTAGTTGACTGATAAGATCCTGTTCAGTGAGGCTGTTAGAATCATTATCTTCAATCCTTGTAGCAGACAGTGGTAGAGCTCCAGGTTTCATAACCAATCCAGTATCTCTCATCTGCTGCATTAGTGTAGGAACATCCGGTTTTTCCTCTTGCTCCTCAGGAGCTGAGGTAGAAGCTTGCAAAGCACGAGCCTCGCCCATTGATAAGGAGTACATTGAACACTCTTTATCTAAAAAAAGCATAATATTATTATTGTTTTTTGTTGTGGAACTGATGTTGAAGTGAAATTGCTGTAAAATTTTTAAGTTAAGAATTGTTGCTTTATGGCATAATTAGTTAATTACAATTTCTGATCAATTACAGTAAGTAACATACTTGAGCCACCTTTAGCCACTTATAAATGCGGAGTCAGTAATAATAGTATATATAAATAATTTTGATAATTACCTGTATTGATATGGCCCCATTTGTGGCACTTAATACACCTGACATTACGCACCAGTATACCAAAGGGCTGGTCACGTATTTCATTGTCCCCCTTACAATAGCTCTCTCTGGGTGCATTGTACTTCCGTTGCCATTCAAATTTATATTCCGGTTCATTATCTTCACGTTCCCTTTCTTTCTTTACGCCCGGGGGCGGTTCATACATAAAATTCAAGCTGAGTTTATCCTTGCTATCTTTGCTCAGCAAAGCTCTAAAAGAAAATAAGAGTCATGTGATATTTACTTCAAGTTCAGAACTTAAACTACAACAGTATATGTTACAGATTTTTTAGTTACCTACTATAGGACTTTGTGGCTTGGCAACTATATAGACCCATGGAATTACGTATATGTTACGTAAGCACTTATAAGTGTGTAGTATGTATAGAATAGTGTATCTCATGAACTACTGGTCTGATTTGAAAAAATCTTTTTGTGTTGAATAATAGTCCATTTATTGCGGAAGGCTATAAATATAAAACATCATGACACGATCAATAGGCGCCGAGCAGAGGGGCTGAAACCAGCTGCTGATGTAGTCCGGTCAATGCATATCCTACGGACAAGATCATTCCAGACACATTCCAATAAAACATGCTGTGATTTTAGTACATTCCACAGCTAATCACACAGTCAGTACAGTTCAGTGACTCTACCTATTTCATTGAATGCATATTTTTTCGATGGGATGTCGCCGGAATGCAGTCTCAGAATTGTTTTCAGGCTACTGGTATCCAATATGGATACTTGGAACTAAGGAACTTGGTGGATACAATATTTAGGTAGTTCTGTACCATATTCCTATTTTTCGTTTTATACACAACTTACTTGTTTTCATGTAGTTCTTGTTCCTTTTCGTACTGAATTCTCAACTCCTCTTGTTTTTTTTTGTAGGCCTCGGTTTTCTGCTCGGCCATCCATACCTGTACACAACGAAAAATAAATAGTTTAATACTATTATGTGTGTATCCAAAAGCCAGCAACTAAGTTGTTCAAAATAAACAATACGAAACTTACGAAACGAGTAGCTAATTATTTATTAAATTAAGTATTATTTCTTACCCTTTTCAAATTATCTCGTGAAGCAGGGTGAAAAAATTTCTTACACATATAATTATTAAAACCTTTACCCATGTTGTTGGTTGTATTTTTATATAAAGAACTTAAATTTTACAAAAACCTAACACCTTCAGTTATTCGTCAGCTAGTCACAATAGTTTTTCCTAGTTTTTCTCTTTCTCAGAGAAGAATAATGGACGACTGGACATATTTTATTGATTTTCAAACGTAACAATGTTGCCAGTTGTCAGTACTTGTCAGCCATGAGCCAGGGCCAGCTCGCCCGCCGGCGAATGAATAAACAGCATGTTATTTCTTTTTCCCAATAAGATTACGAATTGGTTAAAAATATTATAAGTATTATATTTCCGCATCGATTTAATTTTGCTTATGCAGGTAGCTCTCGAATGAAAAAATGATATATTAATATGAAATCCATTCTATGCCAGAAAGAAGCGAGAAATATTTATTTCAATAAAAAAATCATATTATTATGTGACCAACTGTGTCATTTGGGATGAAGGGTTTATGGGTCAAAAGTACCTAGCTAACACACTGTATAAAACTCAAGAGTTTGTTTGTTAATTTGAACGCGCTAGTCTCTAAAACTCTCTGAAACTAGGTAGGTACTGGTCGAATTGAATAACTATTTTTATGTTGGATGAAACCGCGCGGGAGAAGCTACTAAATTATACCAGTAAAATGTACCATTCTGTGAGTGGAGATAACCAGGACCAATTCGTAAACAACCCAATATATTTTCAGCGAAAATATACTTAAGTAGGTACGTTTAAAATTACAGCACATTTGCAAAAATGTTACAAAATCGCTTCTTTGACACACATTTTTAGGATAATATCTCAGTGAAAAATATTATTTTTAGCAAGTTTTGTACATCAACTTATTTGTGAACAAATACTCTAATCTAAGTACTTAGGTGTTTTTTATATCAAGAAAAAGAGATTGCCTATAAGAAAAAGTATTTGTTGTGTTCCGTAGAACAATTCTATGCCGCTAAACTTTAACTTACACCAGTAAAAAAAAAATGTAGGTATGTGTTTTGTACAACAAGCGTAAAAACTACCTCGTTTAATGGTGATGTATTTATTTATTTAATATGCTTCATGCACTATAATCTACAGTGGGTTGATTTAATGCCGCAGGCATTTTCTCCCAGTCTGGCCTTTTGGGTGATGCAGAGAAGACTAAATGGCAAGCCGTGCAAGAAGCAAGCAATGATTTTATTGAACAAAAGGAAAATATACTTGCTTAGTTGCATATTTCAGAGAAAAAATACATAAATAACACATGACATACATAACATCACGCCTTTTTACCCCGAAAGGGTAGCCAGAGGTGCAAATTACGGCACTTAACTCTTTGAGTACCGTCATTAGGTTGCGGTTACCGGTGTCCTTGCGGTGTTTGACAGTTTAATGCCACTGTACAACCTGAGTCCCATCCCGTAATAGCGGTGAGCGTATTGCCACATACCCGGCACTTTTCCAGACTTCGTGCTACTGCTAAGATTTGTTAAAAACCCAGTTATATTTTGCCCGACCCGGGTATCGAACCCGACACCTCTTGCCCGGCAGTCGCACTTGTGACCATTCGGCCAACGAGGCAGTCTAAGTTCTATTTTCATAAAAAAAGTAACAAAATAAATATTTCTTTTAGGTAATACCTAATAGTTGTAACCAACTGCTGCTGCGAAATAAAACGATTACATCGATTTACTATATTTTTGTCAGCGTTGTGTTCCGTCTATCATTTATTCATTTATTCCATAATTAATCACGAAAAAATAATTAAAAAAAAAGCTACCGTTCTAAAGTTATTCCACTATTTGTGTTACACGTAAACAGCCTAATATGCGCGCCGTACGGCGTACTACTTCTCCTCACTGAGGCGTGAGTGTCAGACTCTTACTGACTAAAAACCACCCCGTTCCTACTCTTGCACTTCGAGCCGGAGCCCCTGTAGCCCGTTAAGTTCTCTGCGGCTCCGAATCGGCCGTCGCCGAAGAAAATAATGTTTTTTTCTTCGGTGACGGTACACTTAGCACTTGTTTATGTATGTATACTTATTTTTTATTTATTTATTTATCGCACAATGTGCATAGAGGTCTGTGTTTAAATTTCTTCCTTTTCTGTTATTGTTATTTTTATATATTTTTTAACATGTGTCGTATTCCTATTAGGTATTTTCCTTTAAATTATTTTTCGTTGCTTCCGTCCGTGCGTCACTGCAGGGGGGTTTATTTTTGTTTTTCAAAGTTTATATTGTATGTTAATATTCGGTGGTCCATGTCTGGTGGCGAATAAATTATTTTTCTTTCTTTATTTCTTTGTTGGTCGGGCGACAAGCCACCCATGCATCTGGGTCTGGGTTAAACTTCTGGGTCTCTTTATCTTTTAAACCATTGAACTTATTAGAGTGGAATTCAGTACGTTGATAGTTTGAGATTCGGGAAACGACGTCTGAGAGTTTTCAACCGCTTTTACCTATTTGATTACAATACAAATGGAGTTTTAATTACAGAAACCTTACGGGAATGCAATCGATTTTGATGAGATTTGTTACACAGTATTGGAATTAACCTTGGAAAAGACTAATAAAAAATCCAAAATTAGCCAGAAGCCATTATTATTATTTTTTATGGCATTTTTTTTTAAGGGGGGAAAGTCATCGAATGACTGCTCCCGCCTGGGTGAGGCGGGAGGGAGTGACAGACTCTTACTGACTAAAAACCACCCCGTTCCTTCTCCTGCACGTCGAGCCGGAGCCCCGGTTACCCGTTAGGTTCTCCGCGACATTTTTATGGCATAAGCCGGTAAACGAGCAGACGGATCACCCGATGCTGATGGTAAGCAATCGCCGTCGCCCATGGACACCTGGAACACCAGAGGCGTTACAAGTGCGTTACCAGCTTTTTCGGGATTAGGAGTTTGAGGATCGTTGGGGATTCAGGGGTTGGGGCCCCGGCAACCCGTTAAATCCTCCGCAGTTCCGTATACGCATCAGCCCTATTGGGTACCATCTGTAGTGGTCTGAAGGGTCTTTGAGGCGCGCGCGGAACGCGACGCACCGTACGCTCGGGTCTGGTTCTGGTCGGGCGGCTAGTCACCCGGGCTCGCCGTCATGTTGTTGTTTTTGTGACGCCGAGTGTAGGGAAACCGACATGAGAAATCATTATTCCTAAAACAACTCCGGAAGCGAGAGGTCGCTATCGCCGATCACGTCCCGTAGGGTACGTCGGTGCTTAGCCCACGAAGGGCATTCCCCCACTGTGTGTTCCACCTCAGGGCGGTCCTGGCAGTGATGACACCCGAGCGTTTCCTGCCACCCCATCAGACACAGGTACCTCCTGAAACTTCCATGTCCGGTAAGGACCTGCGTCAGACGGTAGGTGAGGATCCCGTAGCGTTTCTCAAGCAACTCCTCAAAGACCTTACCGCTGCAATAGCAGCCAGCCCAGCCCTCGGTTGCGACAGTCGTTGCTGCCATTCCGCCATGGGATCGCGCCGGAGCTCTTCCCGCCACGCACTAATCTGGCGCGGCAGAGGAGTTTCGGCCCGGCTACATGCCTCTGCGCGCATGTGATACGCGCTCGCGAGGACCTTCGCAGATCCCATGGCGATAATCCGGCAAGGAGGTTTGCCTCCCCGGAGATCGTGCGTTATCCGCGGATCATTTCGTATCGCCATGACCCTCTGTGACATGAGCAACGCCCGAGCGGGCCGCTGCATCAGGTTCGGCGCCCACACAGGAGCGCCGTAGAGGGCCATAGACCGCACGACCCTGACGTATAACTTCCGGAGGCGTTTGGCCCCCCGAGGTTTGGGAGGTTGCGCTTAAACGCAGCCCCCGTCCTCTCCAACTTTGGAGCCAAACGTCGGAAGTGCTCCACGAAGTTCCACCGACTGTCGAGGACGAGTTCCAGGTACTTCATCGTCGTCTCGACGCCGATGGTAACCCCTCCCGCCGTTATTTGGGACTCACCTGGAGGTGGCGCGTTCCCGCGGCCATGAAAACACATGGCCTCCGACTTGTGGAGCGCCACCTCGAGTCCCAACTGCCGGATTCTCTCAACGACTGTCGCCGTTAAATCGGCTGCCGCCTGGTGCGACTTCGCGTGCGCCAGCACCAGCGTGGCGTCGGCCTAGCAGATGATGCTAACGCCGCTCGGGAGGTCGGTGCGCAGCACCCAGTCATAGCCGATGTTCCATAGGAGCGGCCCTAGAACCGATCCCTGTGGAACACCGCATGACATTTCTCGCCAATTCCACTCGCTCCGGTGACCGGGGTAAATGACCCGATGATATCGGAGTGCCTCCAAAATGCAGTTCCAGGGCAGGGTGTTGAAGGCATTGGCGATGTCCAAAGACACCACCACAACAGCCTTACCCCTGCACACTGCAGTCCCCGTCGTCCGGTCCCTAACGCGGATGATGACATCCACCATGAAGCGCCCTCTACGGAAGCCGAACTGGCCGTCCAACAAGTCCGGCCCAATGTCCGACAAGTGCGCGACGAGGCGGTTCGAAATGATTTTCTCGAAGACCTTCCCCACCTCGTCGAGCAGCACATTATCGGAAATGTCACAGAAATTTTTAATTTTCTCGTTTATGAAATCAGAGAAACTGTTTTCGAAAATTGGGGAACCCAGGAGAAGAAGAGAGTTTTTAAATTTTTTATTGATAGTGAATTAGTGACCGTACACAATACATATTTTCTTCATCTTCTTATCAGAAATAGGTTGTAATAAAAATTTATAAATGATTTCAAGTAATAAAACACAGCTTATTACGAACTGTTTTACTGAATAATTTTTGTTGTAATGGCGCTGAATCACAGCAGGAGGAGAAAATTGCCTGGCATATCATCCATATTCTGGTGTGGTATGGTGTACTTACGCCAGGCGTACAGTGGCGCCAAATTTGAAGTGAGGAATTATAGTGAAAATATGAATAATTTATATAAAACTACTAGCTGTTGCCCGCGACTTCGTCCGCGTAGATTAATAACTTCTGACAGAATTAACCAGAATCAATTCAGTGCCCAATTAAGATTTACCTATTGTGAAATGATTTATCGGAATTTCAATAAATTAAAAATCCCGCAGGGTTCTTACCAGTCCCGGCCCGATCACGTAAGTTTTGAGTAATAAAAACTTCGACTATTGTTGTACAGAATCTCTATGAAATAAGTTCAGTGGTTAAAAGATAGAGAGTCCTAG